GTGCGAGGAGTTTTCATACTCTTACGTTTAAGGAGGATGCGTCAGTTGGGGATCTGAACGACTAATCAGAGCTTAACCTTATTACTTTTGACTGACACGAGCACACTCGTGTTGTTATCATTACGCAGTAATTGATGATTAAAACTGCTAATCTCGTAGATTGTATGTTAAGCACAAGCTGTTATCGAAATTGTGTATGATATTTCTTGTGGACATACGCAGTGAAGAATATTGAGATTGTTGATTATTTGCATTCTTGGATGTACCACTGCGAATTACTGTCGTAAGATGAGCGCTTTATAAGATTGTTAGAGGTTGCACGAGTAGTTTGAGTTTTGCCACGGTAGCTTATTTTGAAAGAAGTAAGTTGTATGTCACGCGATTGCAGAAGCAGGTGTATTGCTTGATGTTTCGAGATCACTGAGCTTTGGATTTTTATAATTTATAAACGAAACAAAGTGTTTTAAAGTAATAAATATTATGTACATAACATGAGATGTCACATTGGGTATAACATGAGGTTACATAAATTTATCGATTGTTTTGCTGTGAAAAATATTACTTACTGTTTTTATTTTTTTTGTGACAAACAAGTTTGGTTTAGAATAAAGTAATTGGTTAATATAATGTTAATAACAAATTTTTTTAAAGAAATTCAGACGTGTCGGTTTTTTTTTGAAAAAAATTGCTGCCCCTCGCCTCGTTTTGTGTATTAGAAGAAATATATTCAGAAATGTACTAAGCAAAATACTATAATTGTCCTGTAGAAAAATAGTTTAGAAAATTGATGCTATCTTTGATTTTTAAAATTTTAGATGACCTAAAATATTAATTTTTCTANCTAAGAAATAGATTGAATCGTTTTAATACTTAGACATTAATTTTTGTAGAGACTGAGATTACAACAATTATTGAGTAGTTTGAGAATAATGAAATAATAGCTCCAAAAATGAAATGGAGATCAAATGAAAGAAATTTAAAACTAATTGTAAGAGAAGAAAATTCTATTATATTACTCAGTTAGGAGAAAATTACTTACAAGCCCTAGAGAAATAGGAAGTTAGTTAGTATTAGTATAATAATTGTTAAACTGTTAACAATTTAAGGTTGATTTAATTTATTAGAAAAACAGTTGCAAAATTAAAAAAAATTGTAAATTGTTGATGAAATTCATAAAACATGTAGTGGCTTCCAGGAAAACTTGATTAAAAATTTTTTTTTTTGAAATCACGAAATTCTAATTTTCCGCAAAGTTTTTGAGTTCTTTCTGCGACAACTGTGCTTGAACGTGAGTACATCTTGCAAGCTTGTTATAGCGCTTAGACCGTAGTCAGCTTACTATTTCGTAATACAGCATTGTAGGTTTAGTAGTAAGGCATGGAGTTGATCAGGTTACCTCTGGTTAGTGGTGCTCAGTAAAAATTATTTGTCATGCAGAAAAACAAAAACTGTAAGTAATATGTTTTACAGGGTAACCATCGATGAATTCATTTAACTTTATTTCATGCAAAACTGGAAAAGTTATTTGAACGTAATTTGAACAATTTTTGACGTTAAGTTTGGATTTTATTTTAATACTATTACGTTATGGAAGGTTCAAATAAAATATTTCATTTTGTAAAATAAAAAAAGATTGATTTATTAAGAAGCTCATGACACTTAAAAATGGGCTTAATAAGCAATTTTTCAACTTGTAATAAATTATAACGGCTAATGCTTTTATTTTTCATACATAACATATATGTACACTTTTTTTCTTATTTTAAGCCATACTTTACGAAAAAAAATTCCAGACCAAATTTCATACTTTTTCTTATTTTTTCAAACAATTGCGTTTTAAAAAAATGTACAGCTGTTTGCAATTCCTGTACAACATATTATATATTCAGCAGAAAAAAATATATATAATACCATAGTTGTTATTAACTTATTATACGATGCCAACAATAAAACTCCCAGCGGCTTATACTTAAAGTGGACTATGAGTCAGAGGTGTGTTTTGAGCCTTATCCTTTTTTTGTACATGTGTAACTATAGTAAAAGAAAGTTCAAAACAACAAACTTAAGAGACATATTGACATGAGATAATAAATCTTTGTTTCTAGTTTACGTCGATGACTGAGTCTTAGTAACGTTAAATAAAGAGACAGTAAAATATCTTAGATACACTTGAGAAATTTTCAGGAAGTAGGAGTGTGTTTGTTAGAACAGGAAAAATAAGAACTCTAGTCTTCAAGGAAGATTCAAATAGTAGTAAAAAAAGTATAGAAGAAATATGGAGGGCAAAAAATGAGGGAGGGATAGTTATTGGGGGGAAAAGAATCTTTAGCTTGAAATTCGCGGATGATGTGGCTGTGGTGGCCAGCAGCAGGTAGGGTTTACAATGTATGCTGAATGATCTACAAAAATATGAGAAAAAAAAATAGGATGGAGGTAAATACGTATAAAACAAAAATAATGATATTTAGAAAAGGGGGTAGGAAAAAAGAAAGCGAAAAACTTATATTTAGAGACGAGATAATTCAAGTGGTCAACGAGTAAAAATATCTTGGATTCTGGTTTTCAACAAGGAATACATTGAGTACGCACGTCAACAAAATCACCAATAAGGTTAAGAAAGCAATAAACGCGGTGTGGGGGTATGGAAAAGAGCAAAATTAGGTAGTTTAAAGGGAAGACTTTATCTAATAGATACAATAGTGAAAGCCGGTTGTTTATACGAAGTTGAAATATGGGGGTGGAAAATAAGGGAGCAGATTGAGAAAGTACAGGGAAAGTTTGTAAAGATGGCATCGGGGCTAAATGAACATACTCCGGCGTATATCTGAAGAAGGGGAGTGAATAGGAAAAGTTTGGGAATTGAAACAACGAAGAGGGCAGGGGACTATTTGATAAGCATAGCGGAGATGAAAGACATTAGATGGCCAAAAATTTGCTTGAAGGAGGAAATAAGGGGACTTGGGAACGGGAATGCTTCAAGTCAGGGAAGAATGGTAGCGGAAACTTTTAAAGAAGTAGGTGATGGAGTGGGGTTAATTGGGATGTTTGATACACTGGAGAAGAGAATGACAGATGGGCTGAAAGTTAAAGAAGACCAGAAAATACAGTTAGATTGGGGAAGGATTAAGAGATCTGAATACTGTGATTTTTATAAATATATTAAACAAAAATTAGGAACGGAAGATTATTGGGAAAAGAAGGTGTGGGGGGATAACATTAAAGAACAATGGACGAGGCTCAGATGCGGGAGTGTAGGTAAAGCAGGCAAGAAGGAATTTTTAGATAGCACATGCAGGGTATGCAAGAGAAGGGAGCAAAGTATTCAGCATATTTTTTATTGTTAGATAGCGAGGAAAAAAATTAATGTGGAGTGGCCTGGAGCCGTAGAGGAAGTAGGATTAAAAGGATCGGAGGAGGCAATTAGACAAAGATTGGTCAGACTATTGGAAAGGGATCCAATTGAAGTAATTTGCAAGTATGTTATAGAATTCGAGAAAGTGGCCAGATCAAGCGCTGAAGATAAATGGAGGGGGGGGGGGTAATTATTTTGAATAATCATTTTAAATAAAGGAGAGGACGCGCTTAAGAGTTAAGGAATGATTTAAACGAATAATGAGAATTTATGAAGCTAGAGGATAATGTGCTTGTAAAGAAGGGAAACTGATGTACATGAGGAAGATAAAATAATACTAGGTTTAAGAGAGAAAATTGTAAGCGCATGGCATGTCGTGTGAGGGGAAGAGGTATGTAAAAAGATGTAAATCTATACATGGAAAATAAATAAACACAATACAATACAGTAGCAAAAAAAGATTCTAAAAAGGCTAAGAAATAGATTGAATCGTTTTAATACTTAGACATTAATTTTTGTAGAGACTGAGATTACAACAATTATTGAGTAGTTTGAGAATAATGAAATAATAGCTCCAAAAATGAAATGGAGATCAAATGAAAGAAATTTAAAACTAATTGTAAGAGAAGAAAATTCTATTATATTACTCAGTTAGGAGAATTATATATAAAGCAGAAATCTCTTGAGAGAAAAAAAAAATTAAAAACAGTGTAGCTGAATTATTACAATTAGATTTTAAAACTAAACATGAACTAAAAACTTAGTAAAACGTGTCGTGTAAGGGCTATGAAGAATAGAGAAAATAGTAAAAAGTATATAAGAGAGTGAAAATCCGTTAAAATTTTGTGGTTTATAGGATTTGAGGATTTTTACCTGTATTACAGACATGCACGAAACGGAAATATAACTATCTAAATGCTGAAAAAATTAGAGAATATTAAGAAGCTGATAGTTAAAATGCAAAAAAGCGTGGTATTAAAAGCGTAACTAAAGCATCGCAAAAAAAAGTTATAAAAACAATCAAATTAAAATTAATTATATTGATGTACTTGCTAAAATTACATGTAGGAGTGCAAAAGTTTGTAATAAATATTGGTCAGTAGCCGAAGGTAAGTTATGGATTTTATCTTATTGTACTTATTTAAATATAATTTAAAACAAATACATGGCTATCAAAATCGGTTTCAGCGAAGCTGGTAAATTGTTTCGTAAGGATCAATAGGGAGTTGATAAGTTAATGAGTAAGATAAATTTTTTGATTAAGCGTAAGTGAGCGATAATCTTCGTAAATCAAATATTTTTTCTGGGCCTATGGAGAAACAATATTTCAATATTTACAAAATAATCGATTACTTAATAAATACGAAATGGAGAAATTTTATCTTTAGCAAGTTTATCATAAAAAAAAAATAAAAAAATAGAAATGTAACAGATAAATTATTATGAAAGAAGCATTATCTATTATATTTGAATTGACCGTTACTAGGACTAAAAAAAGTAGTACCTTGTAAAATAGATAAAAAGTTTTCAAAAGCCACAGTAGAACAGTCACTCTGACAACAAATTTCATCATGTACAAGGACCCAATTTTCGTATGATAGTAAATATACATGTTATAATGAGAGGTCCGTTTATTCAAGGTTCTTACCGGCAAAATTGTTGAGTTGTCGCCAAGAAAAGTTGAACTAATATTTTGTATTTGCTGTTTTTCTTCTTCGATCTGCCTAGTGATCTCTTCCATCTTGCGCTGCAGTTCAGATGAGCTTTTGGGAGTTTTAACATTTAGCGAGGACTGCACGGCATTAGAATTGGCACTGTCATCAAGGGCAACATCAACTGGTTCACCAGGACTATAAGGCTCATTATTGCGATCATCGCTATTATCAATATCACTAAGAAGTTGTATTTTTTTGGATAACGAAGAAGTTGTAAGCACAATTTGAGATGAAAGCTCAGGAACTATACTAGATGATCTAGAGAAACGCTGTGCTAAAATCACCTCATTTTTTGTATTAGCCTGCCGCTGCAACGTAGGCAAGACTTGAGGTGGTGGAGTATAACCCTGAGGAGTGGTAGTGTCGCTTAATAGAGACTCTTTTTTCGGCATTTTGGGCGATGATAAGCCAGCAAACGACAGAGTGGAGTTACAAGTAATGCTCGGTCGCTTTTTTCGACTGTGTACAACGATAATACCAAGTAGTAAAGGCTCCTCAATTTCCTTCAGACCTGAGTTTTCAATTGAAAGTAGAACCGAAGGAAGCTTATTGGTGCTAGAGAACGGCATAATGTAAAAATCTTTTATCTTTGGTGAGACGTTTCCAAGGACACCAAGTCTGTTACGACTGTTTAAGTAACTAAAAAGAGTAATATAGGGTATTTTTTCCTCGTCGTTGGTTGCAGTCAATTTTACGATAACAATCTCCTTAGTTGCATTCTTACGCATCTTGTCAATATAGTCCCAAACCGTAAGCGGGCTTATTCGACCGACAACCTCAAATGCATCGGATACGCCTTCCATAAGTTCCTTGGCATGCCCACTTACGCTCTGTGCAGTTACATAAAACTTAGCCACATCAGCCATATAGACAAAGCCATGCCAAACTGGTGCACTAAGCGTTTGGAAACATGGCACTACCTCGTTTGATCTTGGCTCAAAATCACCGTCTATATCGTCGTTTATGTCTGGCGTTTTTATTGTTACCGTAGAGCTAGGCTCTCTATCTGATATGTCTGATTCATTTCCATCTGGAAGGTTATTCGTGACATCGTCTTCAATATGTCTCCACAACCGCTCTTCTACAGGCTTAAAAGATGCAAGGATTGAGGTGGCACTACTAGCCTTTAATTGTTGGTGTAATGTATCCTGTTTCTGCCACAGCTCATGTTCTGACTGCTCCAACTGAGCTTGCTTTTGTTTATCTTTATGCTCCTTATGACTGACGAGCTTGCTCTCAGTAATAATACCGTCAAGTGATCTGCCATTGTGACCTGAATCATACTTGTCTTTTTTACGATCTCTGTCCTTGTCATTTTTTTTATCTCGGTCCCTAAATTTTTTGTAATCTTTATTTCGCAAGCGGGCTTTGTCTCTGTGCTTTGTATCCTTTTTGGATTTTGTTTGATAACTGCATTCTCGATCCTTATGTCGATGACGATTTCTACCATGTGAGCGACTGTGCCGACGATCAGGCTTTTTTAAAATATCACGATCACGTAAAAATAATTGAGGCCTTTGGAGTCCTTCCTCACCATCCCTAAGTGTCGAAGTAGTTAGCTGAGACGATGAAGAGCTATTAAACACCGTAACAATATCTTGTGGATCTACATTTCTGATACCTCCATCGTTTTCAATTATTTGTTCACCTTTGTGAGTTTTCACGACAACCGATTTTGCCTGAGCCATCATATCCAACTCATTCTTTTTGATCATGTCAAGTTGGTGCTTGGTTTCCTTTTCACGCCACTCTGCCAGCTCTTGACTTGCCATCTCCTCAGGGCTCAGCCTGACAACAGCGCCTGGAGCCAGCGAGTGGTCAGCTATTTTATGAAATAATGTTAAATTTTTTGTATCTTTGATGTTGAAGACAAGACTGCGGTACTTGGCTTTATACTTCGATCCAGTGTCCTTAAAATACTTATACATTTCAAGTTCGATTTTGAGAGCCAAATCCTTAACTTCTTCCTCGTTAATGTTTAGATCATCCGCTTGTTTTATACGAGAGATTAATAAGTCAGCCAGAGTTTTTCTAACATTTACTCTTACTGGTTCAATTTCTGATTTTTTCGACAGAACTCTCGTTATTACTGGTTGTTGCTGCTGCTGCGGCAACGGTGGTGACTTCTGTTGCTGCTGCTTGGTAAATTGCTCCGATTGTTGTTGATTTTTTTGTAGAAACGTTGAGGATTTAGCTTCTAATAACTTTTTAGAAGAAACTTTTGATTCTAAAGTTTCCGTCGGTTGTTGTACGATTTGCTGATTTGGTATTTGGATGTGTGATTGAGGGAATCCAGATTTTGTCATTTCTTGTTTGAAGGTAACACTTTTTTTAGAAGTAGTTGTAACACTTGAGTGCTTTAAACACTGCTCATTCGATACATCAGCACATACTAGTGGAGATTCAGGCAGAGATTTTTTTGTAACTAGTGATAAAATAGTTTGCTGCGGGTCGGGTACTTTGGCATGAATAGTTTTTGACTGTGTTGGAGGTCTACCTTGAAGCTGTTTATTCTACAAAAAAATACAAACATAGTAATATACAGTAAAAATGGAATACAACATCAAGAGTAATATAAATTGATTAAAAATTTAAAAAAATATTCATCAAATGTAGAGTTATTCTGTATTAGAGCTTGTTTTAACTTTTGTAAATACCCTTTGTTTTATTGCTGTAAAATCTGAGGGATGTACAGTAGTTAAACCTTTGGTTTTAATGGCTGCTACAGTCTTGCATCCTAGTTGTATAGTGTTCAGATTATTTGATTTCACAACTGCATAATAAGGATGCTCCAATAGCCAGTTTTTTAAGTTTGATGCAGTTGGAGCACCAGGACCTAGAAAACAAAAACAATCATTGCCTTTGTGGGTGATTCAGGAAGTACAAATTTAAAATATCACAGGGCAAAGTATATAACTCATAATAATTTTAAGTTTAACTTAAATATGGTATGTTAGTTTATTTCTAAGATACTTTTTGGCTTTCGCTATATCAAAGATATTTTTTGCTTTCAACTTTTCGCATTAACCGCATGGTTTGCGAGTCTTTCGTGCGGGCCCCTTGCAAAATTTCCCTCAGACGACTCGGTCATCCATTCTATTAAGTACTTTTTACAGGACGCAGCGATTGTCTCAAGCACGCCTTAGCTATTTTCAAGTTAAATGAAAGGACCTTTTCCAATAAACCATCTAACTAACAGTACCGATCTTTTCATAACCACAGTGACTTTACTCGATGAGCTGGCCAAGTGTTAGCTTTCTCTCGAAAAAAAGCCCCTGAAGATCCAGGACATCAGCAGAAAGATGTACTGTTTGCTTTAAAAATCGTATAAGGGGTTTTTCGGCATCCTGGGTATTCATCCCATCGAAAAAGACAGAGAAAAAAGTCATGATAATTTTTAACGGAATTCGAATCCACTACTTCTTTAGTATTTGCGGCTAAGAGGCTAGCACGCTAACCACTTAGCCAACGAAGCTCTAAGTTTAACTTAAATATAAGAAATAATTTCTGTCTCTGAATCAATTTAATGCATATTAAAAATTAACTGTTAAGAAAGCAAGTATTTCAGACAAGTAATATTTTGGTTATACATTCGTTCGAGTTCGCATCGCTAATTAAGACATACAGCGCATGGAGCATACAGAGTAAGAATTAATTTACATACATAGAGTACCCTGATACTTGAGGTTTTCTTGTTTTCATATTGAGCATGTTAAACATTTACAGGAATCATCAGATGTGCGTATTTACCTGCAGCTCCGTAGTGACCGGCCTCAAATCTAACTAAATTTAGTCTTAAGATGGCTTTAAAATATCTTCGAGACGAAAATTAAATAACGCTGCACCGTAGATACAAAAAAATTCAATACACGTATAACTGTTTAGGGTGCAATCAATTCATCTGCAGTAGAATAGTGACTCAAAACTACAACCGAATTTAAGCGGTTACATTAAGGACATTTGAAAAATTGTGTGTCATCTGTTCACTAAAGAATGGGGATAAATAAAAAATTTTATTCTACACATTATATAAAAAATGTAATTTGGTAAAAGAATAAAAATAAGGCATAATACAAATAGTATAAGAAAGTACATTGTAAGAGTTCTACTAAGCAAAGAAAATATTAAAAATATTTTAAATCAGAATACAACTAAAGAATAGCTACGTAAGACTTTACTTGGCAACACTCTAATGGTTAGGTGACATGGTCATTTAAGAGTGCAAGAGAGCCAGCAGTATCTTATTGTCTAATGCACTGCTGTTAAATATTTTCAGATCAGAAAAAAAGGCGATCAGAGCCTCTTAAGAAAAAAAAAAAAAANTAAATTATCAAGGACGTGGTCAGTACAATTACGAAGAGAGAGCCATCTGGTGTTAGCTAGTTTAAAAAAATTTTTTTTGGTTAAAATTTGATAAAAAATTTGAAAATCTTAAAATTAACGAATCTTTTTAAACTGTAGCAAAAATACTAAGTTGAAAATTTAAAAAAGCAGTAAGAGCTTGATGTCACTTTTGATCTATACTTTTTTTTATAACCATTTGAGCCTAAAAAAATTTTTTTTGTTCAATTACTGAACTGAAAGTCCATTTTCTGATTGTAGAGTTTGTTATGTTAGGTTTATAGAAAATCAGCCATGGAAAAAAAGTGGGTACTTGAACAATCTACAAAATGAATAACGAGGGTTAACAATCAGGTTATTTAATTTGGCTATTGAATTTGACAATATTCACAGAATGTCAACAAAAAGTCTTCAATTTTATTTTTTGTATGGTACAAGAATACTTTTAGAGACAGACGTTGTATGTTTGACTGTTTTTGATGAATGACTAGGATCGTTTTTAAAAGAGGCAAGTTTAAAAAAATCATTGATGCTTGAGAAGCAGTCCGACAGTGTTTGGAGAAGGCTCATTTTAGTCGTTAAAAGTTGTACTTAAAATCTGTCGTTAAAAGTTGTACTTAAAATCTGTCGTTAAAAGTAGATCAATTTTAGAAACAGGTAATGTGTAAAGAGCTATTTTCACATTTAAAGTGGTTAAGTGAAGAATGTTCCAGATCGCTTATCATCTGAGGAGAAGCTGAGGGTAACAAACATGACATCTGAGAATTCTTCACTTCAACCAGTGGTGAGTATATAATTTTACATCTTACCTAGACCAGAACTAATATTTTTGCCAGTGTAGTAAGTGGTTATCAATTAGTTTTGGGATAGGTGTGGTGTAAATTAAATATAAAAACGCTTAACTAAAAATAAATACTTTCAACAATACAGGTGCCAATTAAAATGGATCTTCTTTGTCAAGAAGTTGTAATTATTCCTTGGAAATAGACTCTGCTGCTAGAAAAAATCATTTAGTTAAATAAGATGAAACTATATTCTTCATATATGTAAAGCATGCAGTCATTTCTTACCTGATTGTTGAACAGCTAACTGAGGGTCGTTTTTGAATTAAGCCGTAAATAACGGCGTTTGTGATGCTGGTGACTCCCACAGTTCAAGTATAGCCTGTACAAATGATAATGCTGATAGTACAACGTAAATTACTTTTTCATCAGAGGCAGGCTCTGATGCTTCTATAGCCAGTGGGTTGCTGTAGGTGTTCTGTCCACTAGGCCATGTGAAAGGAAGTCTTAGAATATCTTAAAACCAAAATATTTCAGATATTTGGCTAAATACTTAGCCATCCTGAAGGAAGGTTAAAAGTGAATCAGATGATTTTCTATCCTGCAGTGGAAATACATCTTCTAGCGGTATCAAGTTAAAATATCTCCACAAATCATCCTTCTCACCAACTTTGATATCTACTTGTAGACTTTTACCCTTTATGGCAATGCAAATGAACAATTAAAAATTTTAAGTCAAACTGTGCCGAGAAATAAATAAATACGTTTGGGCAAGCAATCTGGTTTCATACCTTTTTGAACAATGGGAAAAAACTTGTCTTAATGTAGGAGGTGCGCACTATCTTTATCTTTGATGTATAGTTTTATAAAAAAGGAGTCATGGGATGGTAAAAAATTCGATTGGCACAGAGTTAAGATGCTGCAGTTAGAGAGATGAGTAAGGGCAGTGCATTGAGTGAGATACTCGTGCGTTGTGTTTCTAACCAAAATTTTCATATTTCACACGGCTCTTGGTTACACAAGGTTTGAGACGTACTTGCTTTCGAATATAGTTGATTATAGCAGGTAGGTGTTATGACCGGATTTGTTTAGAGTATAGTCTACCGTTTTATTTAAGTTTCATTCGTGGGTCTCTTAAGATTCAGTTCGTGAGCTTTATTTGTTTTTTTTTAAATTGAATAATAATCTTTATTTAAATAATATGGGTTATTTTAATTAATGTATTTTTTATTGAAGCAATTTAATAATAATTTGTTCTTTTAAATACAATTTACTCTGGTCACTTAAACAAGGTTTGGCGTTAATTTTATTACTGATAAATAACTTACATCTATCACTGATTGCTGTTACTGCTGCTTCAGAGTGCCCTAATGCTTTGTGCAGTAACCCAAGTGTTTCCTTAAACTACACGAACGAATTCGTGGCCAGTAGGATGTTGCGATTTCTGCTTTCTCTGCTATCGCTGAAACCACTTTCGGCAGGCCTCCTTTGCTGTACCTCGCTCCTTAGCGTAGTCCGATACTATTGATGTTCTCGATACGCACTCGAGTTGCCTCAGCCAACACGTTATGCTTTACGTGTGTAAGGTACTCAGAAGTCGCGAGAGTCAAGAGTTGACTAAAACTTTAGAGGACAGGTGACAGACGTAAAGAGAGCGATTTTTCCTCTTGATGGTGCGTTTTTATATCATCAGAGAGAGTAAAAGAGGCCTTTGGTTGAATTAGGTCAACCAATGAGAGATGTTCTTGCAGACTGCGTTGACAGCAAAACAGTAGCTTGCACAATGATGTTACATGTTATGATTTCATATATTTGGAAATAACAATACAACAGTACCAATCGCATTTTTTCTGACAAGTGCAATTGAGTTTTTTTGGGTCAGTGATGATGAAAGCTCGCATCAGCAATATTGGCCAGGTGCATGTCATGCAGCGCCACTCTTGGTGTCAAAATCATGCAACCGCGGGTACTCACATTATACATCAACAGCATACACCGATGCACACTTTTAGTAATAATCAATTAATTAGCAAAAAATGAGTGTATTTATCCATCTAATAATTAATGTTATTATAAAAACAGGCTTTAGGAACATCACACACTCAATTTTTTTTCACTCTGAAGCCTTAAAAAAAAGTAAACAGTTGGTTGAAAGTAGTCATGTGTGCGATGTTACAGAATTTCAAAGTAATGAAGTTAGCAATTTGACAAGTGCCGTCGTAATAGGGCAGATCTCGGTAACTTTAGCTCCCTACAAAGTTAACCTGCATGTACGTTTTATTCAGATTATTTTAAACATTGTCTAAGTTGAAATGCCCATGAAAATTATCTTTATTTACAGTTGGATAATCATCGAAATTTATGTAATTTTACTCTATCTGTCTTTGCGCTACTGTTATACTGAACAACACAGCACTTTCTTAGACCCATATTTCATATACGTTTAAATAATAAAAATCAGAATTATCATGTTTTGTTTAACGTATTTATATTTCTTTTTTCTGTCTGCTTTTGAGAGTGTGCTCTGGGTGGAAAACTAACGAGGCTTCATTAATATATTGTTACATTCAAATATTTTACAACCGTTCTTGGCACCACATAGTTCGTTTTTTTACATTTGTGTAACTGCAATTTTATAATATTGATACTATTTATGCATACGTGATGATAACATCTTTAAATTTGATGAAATACTATTATTCTTTCCTTAATT